TATATAAAATTAAAGCGCAAGCTGCAGTGGCAGTTGACCGTGTTTGTCGCAAAAGTAGAAAGTGGAAGAAAAGTCGATAGTGTTCTTATGGAATAGTAGCTTATGTCGGAAGGCTGGCTTTAGTATAATGCGGCATCCGCAGCATACGATTGCGGATGACTCACTGGCGCCGAGCCGTTGAAGAACTTTTGGCAAAGAAACGTGGAAAAAAAAGATCTGCTTCAGTTGAAATCTGGCAGTATTAAATAGCAAACTAATTTAAATGTGAATAATTCAATCGAAACTTTTTTAAAACCTTCTTTTATTTCTATTTAAATGAAAGATTTACAAATATTATTAGATTTAATTTCCACGCCAAAATACCCGTACTTTAGAGATGACACCCGCCATTAATACCTGGACATCTCTTTCGTTGATCGATTCAGCCTGTTTTCGCCACATTATTCTTGAAGTCGTGCATTTTGTTTTTTTTTCTAATTTTGATTTCATATGGGCCCAATAACGCTCGACCGTTTACAGCTCTAGGCAATTCGGAGGATTGGCCTCTTTTAGTACAATGTTGATTCCATTTTGTGTATAAAACTCTTGCGCTTTTTTGCACAATGGCATGTGGCCAGATCAGGCCAAACAATACACGCTCTCAGAACAACACTCCAGGTGCAACAACACGTTCAGAAATATTCGGATTCCTTTTCAAAGTCGTTAGACCACCCTTCTCCGCTATTTTATTTCCGCCAGATTTCGCCTTACTCTAAATGCTGCCATTTTTATTGATATTTGACAATAAATTTTGAACCGTCGACCTTCCAATTTTCAGCAATTTTACTAACCGACATTGAGAGATGTGTGGATTTTGCACGAATTCGTCCAAAATCAATTTTCTTTGCTGAAGTTCTTTGCTCTCCACATCACTTATTTTTAAAGTTACACATATGAAAATTAACTGTAATAAAAAACAACGAAAGCAAAACCAGCACACTAAATAAACGGCTGATCGAGTAGTCGATAACAAAGTTGTGCTATGTAGAGTGCTGCCAGATTTCAAATGAAGCAGATCTTAGTTCCGATACTAGCAAGTCAATATTCTTATTAAGTCTTATCAAAAAATTCCTTGTCGTTGGAAGGATAAAGGGAATGCCGCATTATACTAAAGCCAGCTTCTCGACATAAGCTACTATTTCATACGAACACAGATATGTAATCTATTGAAAAATATTAGGCAATTTTCCGTGGAATTGACCCTAAATGACGGCAGACCTCAAAGCTTTAAAAATTTTTTGATGTGATCCAACGATCCGGTATACATATCGCACGTTTGATAATATACAGAATTATTTTAAAATTTAAATTTTGTGGGAAAACGCAATCAAAGTGTGATCAATTCTTACAGTTGGTATACCAAGAAACAGATAGAAAGACGCTTATCTTCGCCATTTTTGGGAAGTTTAGTCATCTGTTAGGCTAAGCAAATTATCCTTATCAAGCTTATGAATTTCTAATTACACACCTCTATTATTAATTATGCGATATTTTAAAATTTTTAGAATCAGGTGAGTTTTTGTATTGAAAGGGTTAACCCTAAAAACATGACACTGTGCTACACAAAAAATATGCAGGGGTTCTCATATAGAAATCATGTTTTGTAATAGCCCATTATTAGTTTTTTACTAACAAATATAATAAAACTTTAGTATTTTTCAAGTTACTACTTCAAGAAGTGATAACTTTGTTGTTTTTTGGTCGAATTTAAAATTTTTCTCTGCTTCAAAGACATGGGTTTCACCTTTCTAACAAAGAAAAAATTTTGAAAATCGGCTGGAAAACTGATTTTATGTACTTTTTTATAAATATCAAAAAAAAAAAACATTTTATTGCCTCACGATCAAATAAGAGCGTGAAGAAAATGAAAGTTTTTTGAAAAATTTAATATTTTTTCAATTAAATGAGCCCTTCTCCAGCCGATTTTAAAACTTTTTTCTTTGTTAAAAAGGTAAAACCCATGTCTTTGAAATTCGACCAAAAAACAGTATTTATAATTTCTTGAAGTTGTAACTTGAAGAATACTTAAGTTTTGTTATATTTGTTAGTAAAAAACTAATAAACAAAATGATGGAGAAAAACAGTATGTATACATAATTTCTATATGAGAACCCTGCATATTTTTTTGTTTGTTTACTTTTGTATCACTGTAATCTACGTCTGCGAGGCGTATATGGAATCGGGATTTTTTTTAAGTTCATACAAAATTGTTTATTTTGTTGTTTTAAATAAATGTGGCTATAGTTTTTATTAATAAAATTAAGTTTATCATTAGTTAAACCAAAAACTTACATACTCTAAAAGAATAGGGCAGGACTAAGTATATTTTATCTCACAGGTTATCTTTTAAGTCACATACGCCTCTAAGACGTATGTTAAGGCTTCAGGTAACTCCCTAATAGATTAGGCTTCTAGGGTTCAGAAGGTTTTAGTTTAAAAGTGTGATACAAATACCTTTAACCATAAACGGCGCCAATTTTCAGTGATTATTGCATTTCAGATTACGACTAATAAACCCTTAAAGGTGACGGCCCACTGTACGAGTAGAGTAACTTAATATGTAATTATTCTGAGTTATCAGGTTTCTAGAAATACAAGTTGTCTTTCACGAAGTTCTTTAAATAAATGTTGAGCTAAATACTCACCCGAAATTCGGGGTATTACTACTAGTTTTAATAAATTGTCGTTTCATCTATCATCTATATATGTAAATGTTAATGTCTGTTTGTTTATTACCTTATAACTTCTGAACCGCTTCACGGAATCCCACGAAACTTTGCACACTTGTTTGCTTTTACCCCGGGAAGGTTATAGGCATCGAGAAAAATGGGCAGTACTTGAAAAGAGGGCGTGGCGCCTCCTATATCTTTTGAAATATTTGTGGTAGGGCATTGGAACTTGCTGTCGAGATAAATAAAATTAATTGCATACTCATAGGGAAAAATTGGCGGTATTGGAAAAGGGGGCGTGGCACCTCCCATAGGCGGGAATTATTTAATCACCTCTAACTTCGGAACCGTAAGTCAAATGAACTTGAAATTTATTATGCAAACATATCTCTGGTAGATGCTTATCTTAAGGTATATATAAATGAGTTTGTAAAAGGAGGAGTGTCAGATAACATAGGCGTGGAATTTTTAGTCAGTCATAACTTCGGAACCATAAGTCACATGAACTTGAAATGTGGTATGCAGACATATCTATGGTAGGTGCTTATAGTAAAGTATATAAATAAATGAGACCGTGAAAGGGGGCGGCAAATCCCAAAGGCGTGGAATATTTTACCAGTTATAACTTCGGAACCATGTCACATAAACATAACATTGTTCGTAGCACTTAACTAGGCGTGGAATTTTTTATCAGCCATAACTTCGGAACCACAAGTCACATGACCCCTTTAATTCCTTCCGCGTGGGGTGAAACCCGCGTGTAAAAGCTAGTTTCTTATCAAATTTACCTTTATGTGTATGCATCTTAAGGATAAATCGAAAACTTTTTTAGAGAATCAATGTGAAATAATTTCAGGACCGATTAACCGGTTTGCTGAGCAACCGAGACATCTTCTTTTTAAATAATTTTTGTAAAACAAATCGGCAAGAACATATACGGCGGTCACTATTCGTGTGGAAGACTAGTACATTAAACTATTAGCATGGAAGACTAGCACATTTCATTATTCGCGTCGAAAAGTAGCACATTTCAGATTTTTGCGTGGAAGAGTAGCACATTTCATTATTTGCGTGGAAGACTAGCACATTTCAGATTGTTGCGTGGAAAAGTAGCAGATTTCACCATTTGCGTGGAAGAGTAGCACATTTCAGGTTTTTGCGTGGAAGACTAGCACACTTCAGATTTTGCGTGGTAAAGTAGCACATTTCATTATTTGCGTGGAAGAGTAACACATTAAGGGTTTAAAGTAAATCATAAAAGTATAATTTATATTGAAAATTCAAGTGCTTTTATTATATTTCTATAATTATTTTCTACAATTTATGAAATTCAGACGGTATATAGCGTTTAGTGATCATTTGCTGAAAATATTTCAATTAAATTAAAGTTCATTAAAAAAAACCCTGTAAGCTCACGCTTAAAACTTTGTAAAAGTCTAAAAAAATGCAACTAATTTCCATACAAATTTCAAACTGATTTACTCAGAAGTGTTACAATTTTTTTGAGCATGAAGCTTTATAGCCCATTCAATTTTAGTATGATAATGTGCAAGTTTCAAGAGTCTTAAATTTACCTTTGATTCTTTTTGTCGCATTTGCTCCCATATAACGAATAAACACAATTTATTTTTATATAGAAGAAAACCGCAGCAACGGAAATTTCTAGCGACTTGAAACTTGCACATTATTGCGGTAAAATTGATAGGGCTTTAAAACTATATACTCAAGAAATTTGGATGGAAATTTGTTGATTTTTTTTGAGTTTTCTACAAAGTTTTAAACTTGGGTTTATGTGGATTTTTTCAGAGAATGAACTTTATTTTGAAGAAAATTCTTAAAAATAAATAAATAAACATAAGTGGAAAATAATATCACTTTGAAACGAGGTCCTCTTGATATGACTGCATGCACATATGTGTATGTTTCTTTGAAATGTGCTAATTTTCCACGCCAAAATCTGAAATGTGCTACTCTTCCACGCGAATAGTGAAATGTGCTTGTCTTCCACGTGAGAATCTGAAATGGGCTACTTTTCGACGCGAATAGTGAAACGTGCTAGTCTTCTACGGTAATTTGAGATGTGCTACTCTTCGTTGGGAACGACGATATCGTCCCCCGCATGCCAGAAACATGAATATGTAAGATGAAAATGTTATTTTTTTAATGTAAATTTGTATGAAAATTAGTTAATACAAATAATGACCGCTATTGTATTGTATTATCAGTCTTTAAACTGTCTTTACTAGGATTAGCTTTCTTTTCTTAAGAGTTCACGGTTTTTCACGTTTTCAGATATTGGGGTACTTTTTCTCGAAGATGAATCTGGTGATTCGTCTCCTCAGGAAGAGGAAGCTTCTGAAGATGGTGAAACAGACGAGCATTCGGATGAATTTAATTTTGCCGATCATCAGTTGGAGCGTCGAAATATCAGCGCTAATGTACGCAGTGATTTAGCCCCACAGTCTATGCAGTGGGCGATCAGAAGCAGAGATACCGCCCGGTCTTCTGTTCGAGTACCAGCTGGTTCAAATTTAGTTTTTATTGACCCCATGGCATTACGCCGTTCCACTGTGCCAGCAAGTTCCACGGTAACAGTGCCACCCCAAGAGCAGCATACAATGGCAACAACTGCTAGCAATCTGGCTCGTGCATTTGGAATAATAGTTCGGCAAATATCAGACCTTCTTAACAACCTCGCATGCCAACTTACATCTGATGTCGAAAAACCTACTTATAAAACGCAAATTGGAGAAGCAATTCAGCTACAAGTAAGTAGTACTACAAATCAGGGTTGTTGCGAATATTCGCATTCGCATTCGCAACTGCGGAGCTTCCGCATTAATTTCAACATTCGCATTCGCTTTCGCATTGGCAATAATCAATGCGTAGATTTTGCGAATGCGAATATTTTGCAAGTGAACCGATAAAACGTATATATGGGGGAAAAAAAAATTACATATTGTAGCCAATATTTGTGCCTGTGGTCGTAGGAGTATTTGTGTAACAAAACTGGTCAAATGTTATATTTATCAACTTTGATAAAAATGTCTTTAAAATATTATTTCTTAAGCTATATAACCGAGCAATCAGCCATAAAAGTTCCCACTTCTACTTGACCTTTTTAATAATATTTTTTTCTGTGCTTTAAATATCTACTTTGGCTTCTTTCTTTATTATAATTTTTTTTGACCAATCTTAAAAAATAAAAAACTACTAGACACAAAAGAAGAAAGTGTGCACTGTAATTCTTAACAAAATTTTCGTGATTTGCTTTTGATGTTACAGGCGGCATACACGGTGCGTCTGACTCGTGAGTCGGTTTGGATGTGTTTGTGAAAATAAATATGTATTAGTTACACCAACATGACCCCCGGCATGACTCTGAATGATTCAACTGTGTTTAGTCGAAGGCGAGTCAACACGTACAGAAATGATTCGCGAGTCAGACATACCGCGTATGCCACCTATTACATTTATTCCTTTGAATGGGGCTCTTTGGGGAATTTATTTTTAGCAAAAATTTTAAAAACAGTAGTTTTGTTTGCTTGTTGGATAATATTTTTTTTCATAGGGATATACATTGGATCCTTGGCTAAAAACTTCTGTGGTAAAACGGTCCCTTCTTTGCTATTTAAAGTCAATGAGTAAGCTCCTTCAATAGGGATTTCCAGTAGAAATGATCAACGTCTAGCTATAAAGAGAATCGATGCTCAAATAATTAAAAAGCTATAGGTCTGTTCTTTAATTAGATAAGAATTACGTAACTATCTGTTATTCAAATGATTATAAAAAACGGGGTGCTTTAAAAAAAAATAACAATATGCTGATCCGATTCGGCTCTCAGCCACGACTTTGAAAACAGAATTTTCTTCAAAAATAATAATCTATTTTCCATATCCATAGCTCGCTATAAGCATAAATTTTTCAAAGCAGTCGCAGAAGAAAGTATTAAAAATTGATTACAAAAACTAAAATCGAAACAGCTAACCATCTCAAATCGAACTTAACCACATCACTAACTATTGCTGTCCACACTGCGGTTTGAGGTTATAAAACAGTTCAAATGTAGAGAACAGTGTTCGGATCTCAAAAACTCGATTCAGGACTTAATCGCTGCAAAAATCTGAGCAAAAACAAATTTTCCGTACTAGATTGAATTTTTTATTTTCGTTTCTGACATTAATTGTTTGACTTAAATATTTTCTATTCATGCAAAAATAAGAACGCGAGCAAAGTAAGGATACAATGTTACATATTTAGGTAATTCTTAGCATTTTCTATAAAGTAGAACGTATCTAACACTTAATTTTTTAAAGAGCAATAGGATCTAAACCCTTTCTACTTTATATAAATTTCATTCTACATATATTTTTTAAGAACTTCTGCATCCGCCAATTTCTACAGCCATACATAAAAAAATAACGAAGTTACTTTATTGACGCATTGCTAGAAAGAGTTACTTTTTAACAGTGAGATTTGGCTAACTTTCAATTTTTTTTACTGAAACCGGTGGTGAACACTCAAAAAACAGCCCCAAGAGGGGCATAACATGAATGAAAAAAAAAAAAAACCGAATAGATTTGAAGTCAAGCGGAGTAGAGGAGTAGATTTCAAATTTTTTTTTCAAAAACCGGAGTAAATCTTATCTGATCTTAGTAAACTCCAAACACTAGTAGGGAACGAATTTTTTTAAATTTTAACGCAAATGACCCACAGATGGCGGGAAAACACAGGGTTGTATCAGACTTTCGACGTGGTTTCGAGTTGGTTAGCTTTTAACCATCTCAGTGAAATGGTTAAGTGCTGTCATTTTTATATGGCGAAACTACGCTAAATCAAGTGGGTTATCGGGTTAACCAACTCAACAGCCATAACTACGTTGTTAAGCTCTGGTGGGACATGCTATAAAGTTACAGGTTCTCCAAGTTCTGAAACAACGTGACATACATATGTATCTGGTTTGGCTTGTAAGCGCTGTTTAAACAACGATCTCGCCATTATGCTAGATTCTAATTGTTTTTTAAAAATACTTGACATCCGCATTCGCATTCGCATCTGCGGATGTTAGCTGTTAGATATTCGCAACCGCATTCGCATCCGCGGATGTCTAAAATTCCACATCCGGAACATCCCTATTAAGAACCACCAAGGCGAAAATGCAGCTGGTCCGCTAACACTGTCGTTTCTCATGTTTTATCCAATATGAGTAAAAACTTTCTGATATTGTTTCTTTTGAAAGATCTACCTACTCCTACCATTTTTTTAATGTAAAATCTACCAATAAATATTAACTTTTTCCAAATCCGTGCATTGAGTAGAGGTGGTAAAACGCGTCTAAAAATAATTTTGGAATTAGCAGACTTTTAATTACACCCCTAAAATAAGTAGTGTCAAGAAGCTGCAGATAAAAAATGTGCCGCCTACAGGACCACGCTGCGACCGGGCGCAACACGAGCCATATGGAAGCGTTATAGGGACTGAAGAGGGAAGCTAGACGATATAAGAAGAGAGAGGTCGAAATACGTGAGTCGAAGAGCTTAAAATGCTGGCCGACAGAAAAAACACCCGAAATTTTTAGCAGAGTTGAGCGACTTACTGCAGGTTTCAAGACTCCTGTAGGAACAACCATGTCGACCTAGTGACCGATGTCCAGAACGTACTCAAAGTATGGAGGAACACTTTTCGACCCTTTTGAATGGCAGCACCACTGAAAGAAGTGTAGAAGACGAACCCGAGCCCCCAGGCGATGACGATGGAGTCTATATCCGACCGCCTGACTATGACGAGGTACGAATAGCGATTTTGCTGATTCCGGGCTATTCCAATTGCGATGGCAAGGAGCTAATAAGGTGCATGCCCGACGACTGTCATTCAGGTGCGCTCTGTCGAATCCACAAGAAAGGCGACCCTGCCATACGTGCCAACTATTTTATCGAGCGTATTGTGTGAAAGACTAAAGCCCTCCGTCAACGAACTGATTGCGCCTTACCAGTGTGGCATCAGATCAGAATTGAGGAGGACCTCACCGAACCGTTTGCTACCAGTCGAGGTTTCATATCCGCAAATATCATACATATATACATATATATATGTATAAGCACACTATTTGGTTTGCTCGATTTTTTAAAAATATATTCTGAACAAGCGCTATTCTTCATCGAATGAGTGTCATAATACCAAATGAAAATTCATTCGATCAGCAGTTTCGACCACAGTCGAAGATCGAATGCAACTCTAATAGGGGCATTTTAACAAAATTGTCATTTAAACTCGCTATATCTCAGTCTTTTGTGTATCGATCGATTTCAAATTTTCACACAATAAACCACGAACTATTCCATCGGATTTAAGTTTAACATACGCAGTACAAATAAAACTACAGGTTTATAACTTTTTTATGAGAATTAAGAGGGTGTTTGTTTTCAAATGCAAAAATTGTGTTATAAAGCTTGAAAACAGTTTTTTGTTTCAAAACAGTAGATGACTATCTAAGGAAGTTTGTGCGAAAGTTTCAGATCTAGACATCAAGTAGTTGCAAAGTTATAACAATATTATTATGACTCGCACGGTTAGCAGACTAGCGCGCCCTAAAAGGCTTTATAACTTGGAAAAGTAAAAAAAGTCCCTTTTTTACAAGCTTTTATTTTTTATTAGTGATTTCTATGTAAAAAGACTTGATCTTTCGATTGAGATAACTAAAAACAATATTAAAAATTACCATAATTGAGAAAACTTACAAATAAATTTTCGTTCAGAATTTTCACCATGAAAGTGGAAAAATTTTGGAAAACGCATAGTACCATCGTATAGCCCGTACAAAAATGTATAGAAATCATAGTTTTCGAATTATTTTTCCCATTTTCTGTTTGCTTCCCAGCGAGTCGAAAAGTAGCTTGTTTTGCACCGCTCAGCGCGCTTGGGACATTTGACGTGAATTGCCCATATATATAGTAAACGTATTTGAAATGACACCAAAAAAATTTAATATGTAGTATTAGTTATGTAGAAAAGGAGTATCTGTGTATGTATTGCTTTACTTTGGTACTATTCAGTCCGATATTTGCGTGGTGGTCACACGAGATAAACGGAACATGGATAAGTATTAAAATTTATTATTTGTATTTAAATAATAAATAACAAATTCCTTTATGTAATAAGGGAGCATTATCATATTAAAGCGACCAATAACGACAACGACAATTGTCACCGGCCCCGCTGCAGGGAGAGCACAGTGCTGCTACTACGCTAAGTCACGAGCACGAATAGCACGGTTGCCAGATGTGGAATTGCGTTGTTAAAAAATCTTCAAATTTGTGCATGTAAAGTACTTATTTACATATTGTTACGATTATCCTTAAACCTCGTCCAGATTTCCCAAATCTCTCGGTTCGTATCGCTGGATTGTTAAATAAATGCAATCGATGACCAA